AGAATATTGCCTAACAGAAATTCAAACATATTTCACAATATTGGAAATTCAATTATATCAAATAAAACTGCATAGAAAATCATTGGGTCATTKTTCATATTTTTTGTATGATGATGATGATATCAAAGTACATATAAGTTATAAAAGAACTTTTTTAATAATCAATTTTATGTGTATCAAGTAAATTATAAGAGCATGAGGTCTCCATTAATCTCTGGGGACTCTTACTTCTAAGGGGACGGTATATTTCAGATCAAAATAAAGAGAAGCAAGTAGTAGACACTTACTCTAGAGCTTTCCTAGGTCCCATGATGCTAAATTTAAGTTACTCCCAGAACCTTTCTCAGACTGTAGCCCCTCTCCCCGGTCTTCATGGAGGTAAAGCACTTCATTCTAAGGTCCGAATGCTTTGGCTTGAATTCTGGCTCTGCCTAGTGGCATGATTTAGGAAAAGTTGCTTAATGTCTCTGTGCTTCATTTTCAGCTTTTGTAAGTGGACACAATAGTTGAAGCTACTTTGTAGAAATGGAATGAAAATTGAGACAGTAATTGACACATATTTAGAGGAGTACTTCTGAAAAACAAGCATTTACATAACTGGTAACTAATATTGTTCACAAAATTGAACTTTGTTCTCCAAGACAAATGGCAGAGATATTTACAGAGAATCAAAAAATCTTTGGTCTTACAGAGACCCTGCATACAATAGAGGAAAAAGTAAGCCCAAATCTTCATCATGTCAGATTAGGCCCTGACTTCCTTAACAAGATTCCTACAGAGCAAGAAATAAAACCAAGAATCAATAAATGGGATGGATTCAAACTTAAAACCTTCTTCTAAGCAAAAGAAACAATCAATGAGGTGAAGAGAGCCTAGATTTTGAGAGCAATTTTTTGCCACTTGTGTATCAGATAGAGCACGAATCTCTAGGATATATAAAGAACTCAAAAAACTTAACACCAAAAAAAAAAATAAATAAACAATCCAATCAATAAATGGGGTAATGAGCTGAACAGACACTTCTTAGAAGATATAAAATTGATCAACAAATATATGAAAAAATGTTCAGAGTCTCTAGTAATTAGAGAAATGCAAATCAAAACTACTCTTAAGATTTCATCTCACACCAGTCAGAATGGCAGTTATCGAAAATACAAACAACATTAAGCGTTGGCAAGGATGTGGAGGGAAAGGCACACTCATACATCGCGGATGGGACTACAAATCAGTACAACCAATCTGGAATGCAGTATGGAGAATACTTAGAAAACTTGGAATAGAACCACCATTTGACCCAGCTATCCCACTCCTCAATCTATACCCAAAGGACTTAAAAGCAGCATACTATAATGATGCAGCCACATCAATGTTTATATCAGCTCAATTCACAATAGCTAAATGGTGGAATCAATCTAGATGTCCTTCTAAAGAAACTGTGGTATATTTACACAATGAAATATTACTCAACATTAAAACAGAATAAACATTATGGCATTTTCAAGTAAATGGATGGAGTTGGAGAATATCATGCTAAATGAAGTAAGCCAATCCCATACAACCAAAGACCAAATGTTCTGATAATTGAATGCTGGTCCATAATGAGAAGGGGGGCATGGGAAGAATGAAGAGACTTTGATTGGGCAAAGGGGAGGGAAGGGAGGGGAGAGGCCATGGGGGCAGGAAAGATGGTGGAATGAGATAGATATCATTACCCTAGGTATATGTATGACTGCACATATGGTGCAACACTACATCAAGTACAACCAGAAAAATGAAAAGTTGTGCTGTAATTGCATACAATGAATCAAAATGCATTCTGCTGTTATATGTCTAATTAGAATTAATTAATTAATTTTTTTAAAAAAGATCTTTGGTCTAAATCAATTAAGCTTTTTATCTTCAAAAGTGATTCTTCTCATCACATTCTTTATACTACACACCTAAGTTTTCATTGCCACAAATAAAAAAAAAAAAGGACCTTGGAAGTAAATCCCAGTATTAGTGAATCTGATTTAGAATGAACTTGATTCTTTCCCAGAACAAGATGAAATTCATTATAAAGCATTGGTAAATAAGAAAAAATAAAATAATCAACTAAAAGATGTAAATAAGCACATTAGGAAATCAGGGATATTCTGATGCTTCATCAAATGATGCAACACTATAGCAGAAGTTGTTACCCAATTCCACCATTGTTCTAAAATAACTGAATACATATTTGGTATGTAGCCATCCAGAACAGAGGTTACATGCCTAGCTTCCCTCTGCTTGTAATCTGRTTGCCTGTCTAGGTTGTGGACTGTATGTATATCATATGGCAGACACTGGAGATCATTTTTTAAAAGAAAACAAGCACAGACTTTTGATTCTGTCTTCTTTCATTATTCCTCCACCTTCTGATTATGATAAAGATGCTGATTGGGGACAAGGGCACACCCACGATCAGTGTGCCTGCTTGTGGCAATGGTGCAGCACACAGTTCTATACAACACACTAGAAAGAGAGGCACTAAAACCTGGATGCACCAAGCTTCCTAACAATTGGGAAGCCTCATACCATCCCTGGACAGCTGGTCTCTAGACTTGGCTTATAAGAGAAATTGTATGATTAAGCTGCTATTGATGTAAGCTGTGTGTTATGCAAAGCAYCTAATTCTCATGGTTAGGAATGTGGGGTTGTCTCTTTCCACATCTGTATCAAAATGCAGTGATAAACAGACTTAACAATTCTGGAACTAGAAACATAATCATCATATTTTTTTTTTTGTATATGTACACATGGTCACCCAGGACCAAAGTGCAGATGGCTGTTACAATCATGAGAATTGGTTATAGGTTTTTTTTTTCCTTTTGCTGGGGTTGGTAGGAGGGGTTCAGTATAAAATGTATTACCCATATAAGGAATAAATAAAACATGAATCTTTGTCGTCATGCTTCCTTGAATTTTCGGAAAATTGTTAATGACCATGCACTGCTTTCATAAGTACAAAAATATCAGTTTAAATGCAAAAAAAGATGCAAGAGTTGAAAGCATAATTTGTCAAAAATGATTCTTAAGAATCAATACATTTTCCCATGGGAACATGATCAACTTCTTAAGTACCTTCTGCCTGACCTTACAAGGCAGGCACTTCCTGCCTCTTCTCACTGCTCCTGGAGTGTTTCTCTCTGAGTGTTCCTCTCCTCTCATCTCAAATTCTGTGAACCTGGCCTTGTGCTAAAGATATCCTTGAATATCATTTTCTCATTAATATCTTCCTTTTAGTGGAAGCCGTAGTTCTTTCTCTAAATCCCAGTATCAATTCCCACAGCATGAAATAATTTTTTTCCACTATACCATAGTGAACATATTTCATATCTCCATGAATATTATAACATTCTCTGGAGCATGTAGTTCTTTATACTTTGTCTTTATATTTATCTACTCGTTCATTTGTTCATTCACATATTCACTTATCCAGTTCTCAACTACTGACTAAATATCTCTTTATGACACGACAGATATTATACAAGACACAGGGGTATAAGAAAAAAATAAAATAGGTTTTGTTCATTCAGAGAATGAGCTAATTATGAACAAGAGGCAATGGAGGGGCAATAAGTAAATTTTATACAATAGGATCATTTGTATGGGAAAGAAATGTATACAATGATTGGAAGGCAGAAGGCTTAATTTTTTTTTCTTTTTTTTCTTTTTTGGTCTTTTTTGGAACTGGGGGTCGAACCCAAGGCTTTGCAAATGCAAGGCAGACACTTTGCTACTGAACTGCATCCCAGCCCCAGAAGGCTTAATTCTTGAAGAAAGCCAGGGAGACTGCCACGTAAGTAGAGATTCTTGAATTATTTTTTCAAGGGTTGATTGGCATTTTTCTGGCAGATGAGATGAGTGGGTGGACACTGGAGCAGGGCATGGACAGTATGAAGTCCATAATAGTGATGATCCATTGCAAGAAAAAGGAAAGTTTAGTTTTGTAGGCCTAAAGATACAAGATGCAAGGAAAGATCTGAGAGGGACTAGGAGCTTTAATGTCACATTCCACCCAGTACTTTGAATACAATATCGACTTAACAGATATTTGTTGACTGATGCAGTCATATCTACTATATATTCTGCAGCAAGCCTTGTGTATTATGCTCCACTGACTGAGCCTTATGAGATATTTTTTGGTTTAGCAAATCAAACTAGGAGTTGCAACACACCTAATTATGGAACTTTTAAGGAAAATCATAGTTGACCAAATTGGGTTTATTACACTCCTCACTTTGAAAAGTAGATACTATATCAAAGGATCAAGGAAAGAGGTGATAGGCTCCACTGGGAAATATACAATTTAATGGTGATCACAGAAAATACTGCACTATTTTCTTTCCTTAAAAACCAAAGAAAAATTAATACCCTATGTTGTTATATTTGCTTATAGAAATGTAGAAATTAGTACATAAATGTATCTCTAAAAACCTTTTGCAAACTTTAAAGCACTGTAATAATATTATTGATTTTTTTCAAGGGTATATTCCAAAAAATTAAAATACCATATTCAACATATTTTTTTTCCTAAATACCAAAGGAGTGTGGTAGGTTTCTTTTTTCCTTCTTCTTCTTCTTTTTGGTTCTAAAGATTGAACCCAGGTATGCTTAACCATGGAGCAATATCCTTAGACCTTTTTAAATTTTTAATATTTTATTTAAGACATGGTCTCAAATAGTTGCTTAGGGCCTCACTAAACTGCTGAAACTGACCTAGCGTTGAACTTTCAATCCTCCTGCCTCAGCTTCCTGAGTCACTAGGACCATAGGTGCATACCACTATGCCCAGATTGATAGGATTCTTTATTCTTTTTTTTTTCTTTCTTTATTGATGGGAAAAGGTACTTATGTGTACTCTGATATTTTGTTCTCATCTGTTGCTTCATAGATAGACCCTAGAGAATTAGCAAAGAGTGGAATTGTTTTCAACACACATATCAGGGTCCAAAAAATTAAAGTAGTTAGTTTCATACCTTCAATAGGTTTTGGTACAAAATGTGAAGAGGGCTTGGTTTTCTTCACTCTGTTTCCCTTCATAATTTGACCTTCTTTATTGAGTCCCAGAAACCATGCTCGGCCCGATTCTTGCTGGCGATACAGTGTGGAAGAATAAATCACATAGTAGTTTTCAAACACGGATTCCTTAAATTTGCATTCTGGGGTAAAAACATCCTGCAGGGAAGGAAAAAAAAAAGAAATGTAAAAAAGAGAAAGGTTGAAAAATGAATCAGCAAATGCAAAATAAACTCCACTCCACTTGGAATACAGGTCYTCTGTAAAGAACCGGAGAGAGGTGACTGCACATAATTTCAGGAGCATTAGTATAAATCTTTATTGTACAAAACCAAGAAACAAGATTTCCTTTCTAACCAATTTGCACTCCAGAGAAAACAACTGCTGAGCTGTGAGTCCCACATTGGGCTAGAATCACTAAAGACTGCAGCCAAGTCCAAACTCTGATAATAATGTTTTTTGCAAATTGAAGCACTTAGCCATTCCTAATTTTAATGACCCTTAGCATGTAAATAAAGTAGACTTTATCCCTGGAAGTCAAAATCAAATGCAACCACAGCAAACACAGGTACATGAAATGTTTTGAAGGGGACCACCACGCCTGTACAAGAATCTGTTCTACAGCCAAAGATTGTTCCATGAACTTAACAGGATGCTACCACTTTGCCCAATACAAATAATTTTCCCTGTAGCTTATTAATCAAAACCTCAGATACAAAAACCTCGGGAATAAGCAGTAGAAAAAAGTACTACTATGTAATCGTATATTTAACCCTGTGAGGAACTTTCCACAGCTGTATCATTTTATGTTTTCACTAGCAAGATGTGAGTATCACAGTTTCTCTACATTCTCACCAGCACTTTTTAGTAGTCATTTTTGTAAAGATGCAGTTAATGCATGATCTGATAATCCTACTTTTAGGTCTATGCCTAAGAGAAATGAAACATGTCCACACACAAAAAAATAAATATATTTTCATAGCATTATTATTCATACTGTGCAAACGACCCAATTAGCTCTTAACTGATGAATAGATAAAGAACACACGGTCTGGTCATACAATTTAATTTTACCCATCCACAAAAAGGAATGAATTATTGACTCATGACAATATGGAGAAACCTAGGAACATATGCTAAGTGGAAGAAGACAGACACAAGAGCCACATGCTGTTTGATTGCATTTAATATGAAATGTCCAGAATACAAAATCCAGAGATGAAAAGAAATGGATGTCAAGGGCCAGGGGTGGCTGTGCAGATAAATGGGTATTGACTGTTTTCTGGAGAGATGAAATTTTTCTGGGATTAGACAGTGGTGATGTTTTCAAAAATTTGTGAATATACTAAAAAACACTGGAGTATATACTTTTAAATGTGGATTTTCATGATATATGAATCATGTCTCAATAAAAAAGAAGAATTGGAGAAACAAGAGACTAGAGAAGGTGAGGGAAAACAATGACAACATTGCACAGTTCTTATCTGGTAGTAGCACAGGACTTAACAATGAACCTGGGGTGTTGGAAAATAGGCTCTTCAATGGCTTTGTCTCTGCATTGCTAGAACAGAGTTTAATCACTGCCAAATATAGGGATCGAAGTGATAAAGATTCAATTTACAAAATGTCCTACATTGTTTTGCATTACTGTAATGAAATACCTGAGATATGCTCACTTTAAAAGAAAAGTTTTGGAGACTAGAAGTTTAAATAGTGTAGCTATTGGATCTACTAACAGCCCCATGGCAGATGCAGGGAATGAGAACATCAGTGTGAGAAAGATTTCACCCCTCAAAACTCACAACYAGGGACAGACAGGGGTTCCAGCCCATTCTGGGGGCATGCTCCAGTTGACCTCTGGAGCTCCCCCTGTGCTGCACCTCTTAAAGGTCCCACTGTTTCCCAACATTGCTGCCCTGCGGATCAAATCTTCAACACATGAACTTTTGGGGGATACACTTAGAACAACCCAAAGATAAGTTATAAGATATCCTATAAGTCTCAATTTTTCTTCTAAGATTAGGTTAAAAGATACAAAAAAAAATAAAATTTGGTGCAGATTTTACTAGTTTTCTTTAAAAAACAAATTGATCAAAATAATCCCAAACCTTTTATTTCTAAGTCTAGCCTTATACTAATAAACACAATATTATCCTTAGCAGCTAAGAGACCCTGGAACATTCAAAGAATAAGTTCTGTGTATAAGGTTTCAAACCTTACAATAGGAGGTGGGAAAATATAGGAGGCAAAGAATTTTGTATAAATGTATATTGTCATATAGGTAGGAGTGATATGACCTACTTCTAACATACATCACAGAAATACGAAATTTGTAAATTTAGAGACAGATGTTAAAGCTGCTTAGAGATGATTCAGTGTGCTGCTTTTATTTAACAAGGTAACTGAAGCCTGTGATAATGAAATAATTGTCCCAAGGATCACACAAAGTTAGAGGTAGATCAGGACACTTAGCCAGAACTATGGTCTCCTGGCTGCTGGCTCAGTAAACTTCCCACAGAACTATGCATTGTTTCCTAATGCAAAGCCAAGCCTGTCCTTGATGTGGGACTGTTAATGGGGCAAACCTTACTCATTATCATAGGAAACTTTGTCAGCCACGAATAATTACTCTGTTGTTATTTACATATGAGAAAAATAACACTTTCATTTAATAAATAATGAAATCCTAGGTTTCTATTCCACTTTGTAATTGTTTAACACTCCCTCCTGAAAACAGCAAAAGTCCAGGATACTGTAAAAGAACTGAAGTCTTGGGGTCTGAGCCAGGAATAGCATTATAGAAAATGGGAAATCATATACAAAATATTCAGAGCCTATGAACAGACACTTCTCAGAAGATGATAAACAATCAACAAATATATGAAAAAACGCTCATCATCTCTAGTAATTAGAGAAATGCAAATCAAAACCACTCTAAGACTTCATCTTACTCCAGTCAGAATGGCAGCTATTATGAATACAAGCAACAATAAGTGTTGGCAAGGATGCGGGAAAAAGGTACACTCATACACTGCTGGTGGGACTGCAAATTGGTGCAGCCAATTTGGAAAGCAGTTTGGAGATTCCTTGAAAAACTTGGAATAGAACCACCATTTGACCCAGCTATCCCTCTCCTCAGTCTATACTCAAAGGACTTAAAAACAGCACACTACAAGGACACAGCCACATCAATGTTAATAGCACAATTCACAATAGCTAAACTGTGGAACCAACCTAGATGCCCTTCAATAGATTACTGGATTAAAAAATGTTGCATATATACACAATGGAATATTAATTCAGCAGTAAAAGAGAAAAAAATCATGGCATTTGCAGGTAAATGGATGGAGTTAGAGAAGATAATGCTAAGTGAATCAAATGCCAAATGTTTTCTCTGATATAAGGAGACTGATTCATAGTGGGATAGGGAGGGGGAGCATGGGGAGGAATAAATGAACTCTAGATAGGGCAGAGTGGTGGGAGGGCAAGGGAGGGGAATAGGGTTAGAAATAATGGTGGAATGAGATGGACATCATTATCCAAAGTACATGTATGATGACTTGAATTGGTGTGAATATACTTTGTATACAACCAGAGATATGAACAGTTTTGCTCTATATGTATAATAAGAATGGTAATGCATTCTGCTGTCATATGTAAATAAAAATAAATAAATAAAATCAACAAAGGAAAAAAATTCAGATCCTAATTGGAAATGAAAATTTAAGTAGAATATCCCATTTAATGTTATTCCAAAGGAGGTATATGAAGAATTAGGATTTAGGAATAAGGCAAATATTAACACCTGACCAGGGCAGGGCATGCAGGAAAATATGGCAGGAAGTTAGTGCAAGCACTTCTGTGGGCACAGGTAGCATCCTTGAAAACGAGCAGGCAAATCTTAAGGGTACAGAGCTACCTTTGAGAGTGATTCTTAGTGCAACCATTACCATTTATTTGCAATTTCAATTTCAGTATGAAGCTGGACATCAAAGAATTTACACTGTTTGTTATTATCACATTTTTGTATAATGAGTTCTGAGCCCTAGAGTTGGAGCAAGAAAATCAGTCAAGGTTTTCTTCTGACACCATACACATCAGTTTTGGGGTTTAAGTAAGTGATTGAAACTCTAATTTTCACATTTTTCAACTGTAAAATGAGTGATTTTAAGGAAAAAAKAGTTGATCTGTATAGAAGCAGTTCATAAATTCTTAGGTTTTACAAAATTCCTAAATTATCATTGCTGTTCAGTTTTCTTCTTAGAGTAAAAAMCACAATCATGTAAAAAGACCATTATTTCTGTGCCTTTGTTACACTTGCTACTATCTGCTCCAGCACCAGAAACCTCCCCCTTAACTGTTGCTAAAAGAAGAGCACATATAAGCACGTTTTTAATGAGTTATCTAAAGCTTTTGGCAAAGATATGGGTTGTCACATACATTCATAAGGTGTTCCGTGGGTTGAGTGTTTAGAATGGCAACAAATCTAATGCATAATGGAGACAGGCAGGAGTGGAGTCACAGGTGGTCAAATCCTAGGCCACCTTGACTAGGTGCATATGATAAAAATAGAGTAAAGAGAAGAGTATACTAAGGAGGATTTTTTTCCTTTTGAAAAGTCACACTGCAACTCACCAACTTTGTTTATCTTTATCACCCTGAGCTCCCAATTCAATGCAGGCATCATACCAAGGTTTATAGAAATACTTGATGAAACAAAATCAAGCCCACATGTATATCATTTGTGTACACATGGTAAAAGCTAGTCTTATTTTTCCCAAAAACTAAACTTTTGATCTTCCCATTTTTCAAACTTAAGCAGACCTTAAATCAGGGAAATATGAATATTCTGGAAGTGTTCTGAATTTTTGAATACTTATACTTTCTTTGTGCAGTCTTTACACAACTGGGGTTTTGGTGCAGCATTTTTCAAACCATTATATGAATGGTCCTTTTCACATTCTGATCACCTTTCCACTCCAGCCATGCACTCTAAAGTAAAGAACTTCTGCCTATTTCAATCCAGATGATGAAGAAATGCTGGAGCACTGAGGCCCAAGTGGTCACTCTGGACACCTTCCAGTGTGTTCCCATCCATCTGTCTCCAAAGCACTATTAAAGTCTCCTTGACCCACAATGTTTTAGCTCCACACTCCACT